GAAACTGTCAGCACCAGCATGGTCCAGGAAAGTGCCCTGCGGCTGATAGTACATGTCGAAACTGTGGGTTTCAAGGCCATTGGCCCCGCACACCTCGATGTCCTGCCAACAAGGTCTCATGCAACGCTTGCAACAAGCAAGGACACTTCGCCAAGTGTTGCAGGTCCACCAAGAAGCCTCCATCTCCAGGTCAAAACGTCTCTTCACAGCCCGACAGAACGTCCACACCACCGTCTCCCAAGAACGACAAAGGATGCCGACGCGTGGATGATACCTCGAGTGACAGGTCCCCCAAGCCCGTCAATGTTCGTCTGTCCTACGGTACCAACTCTTCCAACCTCCTGATGATACCTGACACGGGCGCGGACATCACGGTGATTGGACCAACACACCTGGACGCCCTCAACATCCCCAGGAGTAGCCTGTCACCCACAGCCATGAACGACGTGCTCACAGCGGACGGGTCCCCGATGTCTCCACCTTTGGGTTGCTTCAAGGCAACACTACAGCTCGGTCCCAAGTCTTGCCTTGCCACAGTCCACGTCCATGAGGGCATCCAAACCCCTCTCTTGTCATGTGGCCATTGTCAGGACTTGGCCATCGTCTCATCCGAGTTCCCAAAGCCCATCCTCGCTGTGACACACCTCAACAGGTGTGCAGAGATACCTGTTTCAGCCATGACCACACCTGCTGCCGCCCGGGAGTTCTTTTTTCGTCAGTTCAGCGACGTCCTTGTCTCCAAGCCCGACCTCCAGAAGACGCCGCTCAAGAAGATGACAGGCCCCCGATGAGAATCCACCTCAAGCCTGGCGCGACGCCTTTCGCCATCCACACACCCAGGCCTATCCCCTTTGCCATACGGGACAAGGTGAAGGCGGAGCTCGATTCTCTGGTGCAGCAGGGGATCATCAGACACGCCGGTGAGGAGCCCTCCGAGTGGTGCCACCCTATGGTCTTGGCACCCAAGCCTGTAGGTGTTCGCATCACAGTGGACCTCACCCATCTCAACTCGCAGGTCTCCCGTCCCGCCCATCCATCGCCTACGCCCATCCAAGCAGTCCGCAGCGTCACCCCGTCTGCAAAGTTCTTTACCACGGCGGATGCACTACATGGGTACTGGCAAGTCGACCTGGCGGAAGAAGATCGCCACCTCACTACATTCATCACGCCCTACGGCCGCTTCCAACACTGCCGCGGACCCATGGGCTTCGCAGCAACGGGGGATGCGTACTGCCTCCGTGGGGATATGGCTCTGCAGGGTGTCACCAACTGCGTGAAGGTCGTAGATGACATCCTGCTCTTCGACGATGATCTCCCGGCCCACTTGAACCGAGTTCATCTGATGCTCACAAGATGTCGTGCCCATGGTATCACCCTGAACAAAGATAAATTTGTGGTCGCCGCCTCCCAAGTTAACTACTGCGGCTACAACATCTCGCCAGAGGGGATCTCAGCTGATGAGGAGAAGGTCAAGGCCATCAGGGACTTCCCTACTCCAGCGAACCTGACCGACCTTCGCTCATTTATGGGCCTGGTAAATCAGCTGGCCGACTTCTCCCCTAAAATCGCCACATCAGCCCAACCCCTACGCCCCCTCATGAGCCCCAAGCGCTCGTTCCTCTGGACTCCTGACCACGACCTAGCGTTCAGGAATGTTAAGAAGGCGTTGCTGTCACCCCCAGCCTTGGCACCCTTCGACCCGTCCTTACCAGTGGTCCTCCAGACCGACGCCTCCCGTCTATACGGCCTCGGATATGCCCTCCTTCAAGACCACGGCCAGGGTAGACTGCGCTTAGTTCAGTGTGGCTCCAGGTTTTTGACAGACACGGAGACCAGATACGCCACCATTGAACTAGAGATGCTGGCAGTCGCCTGGGCTATGGCCAAGTGCCGCCTTTACCTGTTCGGCCTTGGGCATTTCACCCTCATGACGGACCATCGCCCGCTCATACCCATCCTCAATCACTACACGTTGGACGCCATCGAAAATCCTCGCCTCCAACGCCTCAAAGAGAAGACCGCCCCTTACGTCTTTACAGCTGTGTGGCGCGCCGGGAAGCTTCTGTGCATACCAGACGCCCTCTCCCGAGCCCCTGTTAGTCGCCCCACACCTGAAGATGAAGTCGACTGTACCACGGCCGCTGCTCACGTTCGGTCTTTAGTGACACACACAGCCACTTCTCTTGCTGACAAGACGACGACGACGCCCTCCATCGAAGACGATAGGACTCTCCAGGAGCTTCGCATCGCCGCCGCTCAAGACCCGGCATACGTCCAACTCCTCGACTACGTCTCCGCTGGATTCCCCACCAACCGCTACGACATTCACGCCTCCGCCCTCCCCTTCTGGAAGCTAAGGGATAGCCTCTATGCGGACGGAGAGCTGGTGTTGTACGGCCCCAGGATCGTCGTTCCCGCTGCCCTCCGCCGGCGCACCTTATCCCGCCTCCATGACAGCCACCGCGGCGTTGAAGCCACCAGGCGCAGAGCCCGTCAGACCGTCTTCTGGCCTGGTATTGACGCCGATATTAAGAGCACGGTTGAGGCCTGTGAGCCTTGCCAGCAACTCCAGCCCAGCCAGCAACAGGAGCCGTACCTGTGCAATGACCTCCCGAAGCGGCCCTTTGAGTCCGTGTCCGCCGACTTCTTTAATGTGGCCGGAAAGTCTTTCCTGGTGGTCGCCGACAGGCTCTCTGGATGGCCCGTGGTAGTTCCCTGTGGTCAGGACACCACCTCTTCCAGGGTCATCCGGATGTTTTGTTGCTTCTTCCGGGAAGTCGGAGTGCCTCTCCGCCTCCGAACCGACGGTGGGCCCCCGTTCAATAGCCACGAGTTCAAGAGCTTCGCCGAACGCTGGGGCGTCCACCACATCGTCACCTCCCCTCATTACCCGCAGGCGAATGGCCACGCCGAGGCAGCGGTAAAGTCCGTAAAATACCTCATCCTCAAGACAGCACCGACGGGGAACCTGGACTGCGAGGAGTTCGACAGGGGCCTACTGGAACTCCGTAACACCCCTACCCCTGCCGGACGCTCTCCTGCCCAGGTGTTGTATGGCCGCCCCCTTCGTACTTGTGTGCCTGCCCACCCCCAGTCCTTCTTAGATGAATGGCAGATCAAGGCGGACGAGTGTGACCGCCGTGAGGCTGCCCGGATGGCCCAAGTGACAAGCCACTATGACGCCCAAGCCCGCCCCCTTCCCAGGTTGGCCGTCGGCCAGCAAGTACGAATCCAGGACCCGACGTCACACCGCTGGGACAAGGTTGGGGTCGTCATGGGCCGTGGCGAGCCTCGTTCGTACCAAGTCCGCCTCCCCAGTGGTCGTGTGTGGTGGCGAAACAGACGCCATCTCCGCCCAGTGCCACCCTCTAGTGACGAACCTTCCTCCCCGTCCCCTGTGTCCCCTTGCCCAGACCAGGAACGAAGGTCGTCAGTTGATCCTCCCATTGTCCCTCGCCGCTCCCCCCGACTCATGGAAAAAGAGTCCGTAGCCGCTCGAGATTGCACTACGAGCGTAAAGGGGGAGGGAGGTGTATAGATATGTACATACCAAGATATGTGAACACGCCTGACACCAGGACTCTTGTTACCATTCATTGTACCATTTATTCACATGTCTGTATTACTACATATTATTATAGCATGTCTGATGTCCATGCTTATGTCTAATGCCTATGTTCATTTACTATGTCCCGATGTACTATGTCTGTACCGCGCTAGTCGAGTAATTAGAAGACCTCATTTATTGTCCTAGGAATGTCTAGCAACTCCCCTTGCCTGGCTAGCTAATTTCCCTCAGATCGGCCTCGGCCTACCTACGGTCCGGGGTCCCTAGTAATCGCTCCTGTATCGGTTGGCTATCACGCCCAGCCTTGTACCACTTATTGAATATACCTACTGCTCGTGCCCTGGAGTTTCAAGAACCTTGTCTAGGATTACATCCACCACACCACAGACATCACATGTTCAATTGATTTATGTGTTTTGTTTGTGAAGAATTGCAGAAATAATTTATGTAATATTTATGTATACAGTATACCTGTACAGTATATGTAAAATGTAAACTTTTAAATAAGAGAAAAACAAAATACATAGCGTTTTAGACCCGAGCGCTCTGTTTACTCCACACTTTGTTTGAAACACGTGTGAAGTTTTTAAGTGTCCTCAGTGAATTCTGATTACTGTTTCTCCAATTTTGTGACTATGGAAAAGAAGAATATCTCTGGGAAGCACTCTGGTGATCGCATTTCCGGTGGTGATCGTAAAAGAAAGGCTATAACACTTGAAGAAAAGCTTGATGTTTCATGACTCCTCAGCCTCAACATCACCCTTATCCCCCATCAAGTTATATTCATATTTTTTCAAGGTAAAGTGTAACATTTACTGTATGATTTCATTATTAGATATGAATGTAACATTTATTTAGACTGTGCTATCCTTTGTGTTAGGCTAACTACGAAATTTTTTTTCGATTTGGAGTAATCTGCACCTAACCCTATTTTCTCCATAAGCCCTGTTATTTCTATTACACGAATTTCTATAACACGATGTTTTACAAGAACACTACTATCGCGTTATAGCAGAACTACCTGTGTCTAGACGAGGTTTGCCATGGATGCTGTTACTACAGTTGAGGCCTTCCAGGATTGTGCTATGGTTCTTCAATTGCTGAAACAAATGGGGCATCTGCAAAAGTTAAAGAAAAGACAATGAGTGTGTTGTGAATTGTTTTTTTTAATTGGCGATGGCTGGCTTGTCAAAGAAGACCCTGAATAATGATTTAATAATACTAAAGAAGTTTTAAAGTGACGAATAAATAGAAACATGTCACCGTTTTATGTGTTGTACTGTATTTTAAATTATTATTGTTTCGTGATTTATTTAAATATTTACTTGAATATTCAACACCTAATATGAAACTAATTTGAGCACTAACCCAGCCAGCAAAGCTCACTGCCAAACTGTTGTCCATTTGGGCCATCAGGCCAGCAGCCAGCAAAATGGGCAACAGTTTTGGAGGAAAGTGCCCAGTGGGCTGCCACCGTTAGCCATGAATTCCTGGCTGGGAGACTGGAAGCTATGTAGCTGGTATGTTAATTTAGATTGGAAAAGTCACGTATCCTGATATATGAGAGTCTTTAGGTTTGCTTCCTGAGGATTATAAGCCATATACCTGGCTAAGTACTATACAGTAACCACTTCTCTTTTCATCTTGTACATCCTTGGATGTACTGTATTATTTAATTTTCAGCATGTTTGGTTGACTTTTACAACTGGTGAGGACAGGTGTATTATCACAAATACAATTCTTTTTATTTATAGCTTTGGGATATTTTGAACATTAACCAATATCTTCATTCAACAGACATGTGGTCACTTGGAGAAATTCAAGAAGCATTTAGTTTAATCCTTGAGATAGAGCAGCACACTAACTTCCATGTGCTGCCTCCCAACCACCGCCAGCACTCCGCAATCCCACACCTTCAGTTTATTTATGACCGTCTACAGAAGATCTTTGGTTTAAGACTGTGGGCTAAAGTTGGTGAGTAATTAGAACGTACATTGAACATTAATAGTACAGCATAAACAAACCATTAATTTGATTCTATATATTATGTTGAGTATAAAAATTATATGGTTGTAGTGAAAATTGCAGATAAAGGAAAGAGCATTTTGTTTTCTGGCCTTTTCACTAGAGTTGAAGTGAAGAAAACTTTCGAAAGTGAGGTGAGAGGTTTGAGTAATATCTTTCAAGTATGGAGTTAAGTAACAAAATGGTGTACAGGTATTGTACTGTATTGTATTCACAACAATATGAGATTTTTTTGTTTCCTTGTAGGAGAGATGTATTTTTTTTAAATTTATTTGCTTTGGTAAAATTACTGAAGATGTATTACATTTGGTTCAGCTTTCAGCTGTTAAAGGACAATAGAGTTGGAGACGGAGGTAGACCAGTTAGTGGAGCTTGAATATGGTCGCCCGAAAGTAAATGTTGGTGTTTGACAAAGTTCTTCCATCAGGAGCAAAAGCCTAGTGTACACTGATTGGTATTGGGTCTTGTTACAGGGAAATTAATTAAATTATTTTATTATTTCAGGACAAAGTCTTCCACAGAATGAAACTATAAGTTTACGCTGCTTCCGGAACTTACAAGCTCTGGAGTTATTGCACATTCCTGTGACCAGCCTCAAAGCCCTCCAAACCCTGCGGCCAACACTGCGATCAGTAATAATAGTTAAAGGACTAACACGACTTAGTGATCTGTTCATCCGTTGTGGTGCTGATAAGGTAAATTTTAACTCCATTATTTTTATCTTAATTAAAATACAATGAAATATCAGTTTTTAATATATAATCCAGTGAAAGGACAAGTAAAAAAATGTAGGACTGAAATGTACTGTGGTATTAAAAGAGAGTCACCAAAATTTGTGTGTACACACTTTACATCTGTTACAGGTACAGTACAGCTACAGGTCATACAATGTTTTTGATGGTTATTCAGTAACTAAATCAATTATATTCATTGAACTCTGTGGGATACATTATATAAATCCCAGTAACTGTCTTCCATCACAGCATTGCTGCAATTTTGGAACCTTGGTAATAAGCTGATCGTATTTTAGTTATTTCTTAACCAGAGAAATTGAAACATAAAATTTACTCACATTTTGCTATTTTTGTAGGAATTATACTTGATATGGGGGTGGATGTGGTTACTCTTGGATACATCACTGTGGAAAAGTGGATAGAATGATGGTTATTAGTGTGTCTGTCATCAGTTTTTCATTACTCTCTACTGCTCTCTACACAACTATTGAAAATTATTTTTGCCAAACTTGGTAGTCAGGTCAGAGGGTAAGATGTCATCTTACCCTCTGACCTGACTACCGACTGCTGCGGTGTTTTTTGAAGATTAGTAGGGTCATTACCTAATACCTGACCATTGTGGACTTGATCTCACCCTCCTCTGTATATATATACCTTGTTATGTACTTCTCCTTAGTCTGTACTCACCCCTGAAGATGTGAATTACACGAAAGCGCTTGGGAACTTCGTGTTTTCTTTTTCCTTGTAGTTATCAGTATATATATATATATATATATATATATATATATATATATATATATATATATATATATATATATATATATATATATATATATATATATATATATATATATATATATATATATATATATATATATATATACTGTATATATATACAGTAGTACCCGCTTAACGCGGTCAATTGAACCCACAGGGTACCGCGTTAAGTGAAAACCGCGTTAAGTGAACAACAGAACATATGGGATTAATTCCAATAGAGACTGGCCCGACCCCCAAACTCCACTTTTTGACGACACACAACTATGTTGTAGTAAAAATTTTATCTTAACTTTATGATGGTATGCACACACAATTAATAATTAAGAGAAATATCAATAATATTAGGTTTTTTAACACTTGCATTAGTAGAAAAGATGGCTGGGCACACGGGGATGGGGGGTTGGTTCCGAGGCAGAGGGCAGATTATTGGCCCTCACCTGTATCACTTGTATCAATTGTATCACTATCCACCACAGAGGCTTGCAGGGCCTCTTTGTCAAACCCCTCAAAGGCCATATAAGTCCATATCCTCACTATAATTATCACTATCACTGACTTGGGCCGGCTGTGGTGGGTGGCGGGTGAAGAACTCGGTAATGTTTTGATGACTGGGCGACCTTGTGCGCATCGTGCCCGCGCCGCTTCCCGCGTATATGATGAAAAATTCCGCGTTAAGTGAAAGTTCAGCTCTGGCGAGGCACCGCGTATATGATAAAACGCGTCAAGTGAAACCGCGTTAGGCGGGGTAATACTGTGTGTGTGTGTGTATATATATATATATATATATATATATATATATATATATATATATATATATATATATATATATATATATATATATATATATATATATATATATATATATATATATATATATATATATATATATATATATATATATATATATATATATATATATATATATATATATATATATATATATATATATATATATATATATATATATATATATATATATATATATATATATTATTTTTCCATTTGTTATAGTGCCTTTTTAGTTTTTCCACTAATGTATTGTAAACTAACTAACAGTGTTTATACTGTATATCAGGCAGGAGAGTTTACAATGAGTTGTGAGCCAACACAGCTTCCTGCACTTGCTCCCATGCAGAGTTTAGACCACAGCCTTAGTCTCCTGCCAAACCTTAAGGTATGTTGCAAGAAATATGTAAGTACTTACTGTATCTTGTACTACTATTGTGGGGATTATTTGAAATTGTATTACATTTGAATTTTTTGTATATTCTGTCATTCAGTATGGTATTTGCTTGCTTCTCTGTTGGTCTGTACTGTTTATAAAGCTAAATGCTTGAGCACTGATGAAATTTGGTGGATTTTTCTTGATAAGATTTGAAGGGATTATGTCTCATTGGTTATTTACGTTCTGTGATGTTTTTTTGGAGTAATTAGGGCATAGAAACTGTCATAATTTATATTATGAATTAATGGTTATATGGCTAACCATTGCAAGCATAGAAAATGTACATAAAACGTTTATGATGATGATGATGATTATTACAGTATTATTATTGAAACCAAACTATTTTTGGTACTTAAGCTTTCAATTACAGTTCACACGTATTACAGTGTTTAGGTACATGTATATATTTTCTGGCAATTTGTATGATAGTGCCTTTAGTAGAAATTTGAGGTTTATGGTGCTAATACTGTATATGTTTTTGTTTGAACAGATACTAGACTTAAGCCATTGTGAACTGGAGGATGCCTCAGCTCTGGAGTACCTCCCTACTGTGTCGTTATTAGACCTGAGCCACAACCAACTACGACTCCTTCCCCGTCTCTCTCCTACTGCTACCTACTCTCTTATAGTTCTCATAGCCAATAACAATCTTTTTTCTCACATAAGTGGTGCGTATATATTTTGTTGTAGTTTTGGGTTGCTTAACAGCCATTTACATTACTCTTTTAAGAATGGACATCATATACAGTAGTATTTTAAGATGAAGTGTTACAACAGTTTTATATTCTGTAAGGATGCTACTTATTTTTCCTTATTTAGGTTTACATGAAATGAATAACATTGAGGAGCTGGATCTGAGGGACAATGTATTAAGTTTGAAGGAAGCGTTGTCACCCATTGGTGCCTTACCTCATATTAGAGTGCTCAAGATAAGTGGTAACCCTATCACATGGGACCTCAACTACAGAAGTCAAATTATCAGACAGCTAAATCCTGCTACTGCCAATCATAAGGTACTATATATGTTGACTTAGTTATGAAATTATTTTCACCATTAACTTTACTAATGTAACACTTGTCATATGTGCAGCTTTATGTTTGATAGAGAGAAACTTATTCATGTATGTGTTAGAACTTGACAACTTGTTAAATATTTGGTCATTTTCTTAGGACACAAAATCATAATAGTCCTTGTGATGTATCATTAACTTGTCCAACTTAACTCTCTTTCATCTTTTATGGTTAAATTTTTTAACTCACTGTGTTTCTTCAATAAATGTTTATTATCACTTTTTTTACTGCTCATTTAAGATAATGTTGTTTGCAGGTTGTGTTTGATGATGTGCCTCTAACAGGTCAAGAATATGATGAGGTTGGGATGCATGCAGTGCCAGCAGGATCCTCTTACTCCCCAGAACTTCTTTCATCTCTTTCATCCCTCTCCTCCCTTTGTTCTCCAGTGAATCCAATAAGTCCAGCACATGGACTAATCTCACAGCCTCTGTATTCACCTGAAGAGGCAGATCTGATTCAGCTAGATCCAGTAGACTCCCAACCAGCAAGTTTAGTTAATGATTCAGCTCCTGTATCACTCAAAAACTCAGGTTTGGTTGTGTTCTGCTCTTGGCATTTAGATTGTATATCATCTGGGTATTTAAGAATTGTCTGTTATGTTTTACTTTTGCATGATTTTTAAGTGGTGATGAATTCTTTTAAATCCTTTACACATAAAGATGGTGCATCACAACCACTCTAGATATTAACAGTAGTGTACAGTGTTATGTGAGTGAAATGATGTACAAAATTTCAATTTGAATACATAAGAATTTATGTATTTCCTTATTATTACTTCTGGTAAGGAATCATACTCATATATACAAGAGGCTGTTATAATTTTATAATCACCACCAACCTGATAACTGACTGAAGTATTAATTTATGCTCATTCATCCCTCTGGTAATAAACATCACCCTTGGCTGTGAAACTTTCTTATATTTGACGTAGATTTTTGGTGCTCAATGCAAATACTTCTCTGTTACCGTCTAGTAGAAGTTTTCATGCTAAAATTTTTATAATTGTTGCCCATGCTTGGAAGGCAAGGACAGCTGCCAGTGTGTCCCTTTTTAATATTCATCATACCTGAATGTCATCAAACTTACGTCAAGTAGAGTATGCAAAGGAAACCATTGCCTCTATTTTCATGTACAGTGCTTCTCTTGGGGGTACATGATAACAAATTTTAACTATCTCGATGAGCATGGTTTATATGGAAGATTCTCCTCTCAGATTCAGAAGAGCTAACTCTTAACTATGTTGGATTAAAACTTAATAAAGTTTACCTTTGAAGTATTTTAAGAGCAGACGAATGTCAACTGTCTTTTGATTTATTTTTAGTTCATTTTTGATAGCATGAAACACTGATGTCTATGTTTCCCATTTATTAGTGTAAAGTACAGTAGTTCCAAACATGTGAAAAAATATGTAGGGTGGTTTTGTGTGGAAATTGGAGATTTTGACCAACATTATTTCACCCACTGGTGTGTGACTGATCCCTTTCAGTAAAGTGGTAACACTATTCTTTCATGTCTATCAAAACGTTCTGGGTGTTTAAAAAATGATGTGAAGTTCTTTTCAGCTGGTTTTTGTATTGAGTTACTACATGCAGCAGTCATTTTTGCTTTAAAATATCAAGCTTATTTGTGTTTACATATGGTACAGGGATGCTTTACTTCACACTTTCTCATACCTTTAAGTAAAAATCCAACAAAGTGCATATAATGAACCTAAAATTTAAGTATTTTCATGGAGAGGTATATTTTCAGACCCAGCAGGGCAGGGCTTGTTAATCTCATTGTGATATTTTTCTAATAAGAAATGGCTTGATAGGTCCCTGTGGGTATGTGAAGTCAGCCCTCCAACATGGTTTTACTTTGTTAACATATTTGGCATGTATTTGAAGGTTGAGATGTACCATATGTGAGACTCAGAATAGTTGAATACTGTAATGGCTTTTCTTTGTACTGTAATTAAAAGTGATGAATTTTGTCCATATTCACTAAAAAGGATTAATACCTATTAAAAATATTTGCTAGTGGCTACCATGTTTGAAACATCCAATAATCTCACTACCCAGGCAATGGACAACCCCGCAGAAAATCAAAGAAGAAACGCACTCGACATATAGCCATCACAGATCCTGATAATGAGGATATGGACAATGACAGTATACATTTGGCAGACAGTGACATGTTGGAAAGAATGGGTAAGTCTTTAACAGTCATGCTGGGTGGAAAATCCAAAAGTAACTATTGGTTTATTTGGGATTTGAAGACCTGGCTAGTATGTTCATTAGACTCTTTATTTCAGATCAAAACTGTTCTATTAATTTATTGTTTGATGTGGTGGGCAGCTATGTACCACAATTTTAATATGTAGTTTAGAAAGGAATAAGGATTAAGAAAACAACCAGTGGCATATACAGGAAAAGATACAGTCATACTGAATGTAAATGATGATTGATGACTTAAGCTATTCAAGGACATACTGTAGATACGAGTAAAATGATGCACAAGAAATGGTAAGTTAAGAGTTACTTAGAGGAAACCTTGCAAAACAGTGGACATGTTGATGTAATAAGATTACATATGGTTTTGGAGAGATGGTCAGTGGAATTTAGAGACCTATGAGTTAGGGGCTTTTAAATGATAAAGGACTTCCAGAAATTAGGTAGTTTAAGAGAACGTAAATATTTGCAAAGATGGATATTCAAAATTAATTTGAAAAAATGGGAATTGCATTCAGCTAGAAATATTCAATGCCATGATATATACAGATAATTAAATAGACTCCTGCAGAATAAATTAAATTGTGCTATTACAGTACCGTATATCTCGGCTTATAAGACGGAATTTGAACATTAAAAAAATCTGCCCAAAGTTAGGGGGTCGTCTTAATCACCAAGTATAAAATTCTTACCTCTTAAATATTGCGTGTCAAGAGTGGTGATGGAAACATGGTAAACCACTCACAAAGTCCTACCAGGGAAAGTGACCTTGACTGTGACCGCCTGTGGCTATTTTTAGCCGTCCTTGTGTTCGGAGGTGGTCAGTAATGCATATCTGTATATTTACTGATCATAATACTTATCTCCTATAAATAATTCATTTAAAATTTATTTTTTTACAAAGAATATTCAGGAAATGACTGCGTTAATTCTTGAAACTACCGACAGTGGTAAATTTAGGATATAAATGATGAACAGAAGTCACTTCATGGAGTCATGGATTCGGAGTTTGGTCCTTAATGATCACCTACCAGTTATAATGCTAGCCTCCCTTTTTCGCGAAACAAGTATATAAATTAAAGAAAATACTTGCAGTGTGTTTAATGTATTACAGTATATTATAAATAAATAAATAAACAAATAAATCGGCAAATCTATTTTAAGTAAATGGAAATATTTTACTCACACCAACATTAGTTCCAATTAAATAACTGCCGCTTAAGTGAGTCACTAGTGTACACCAGCCGGTATAATTTGATGCCAATACTTGAAGTGAATTGGCATTATTTTAAATAACCAACAATAAATAAATGGAAAAAAGATCAAAGGTGAGAAACATTATATTGTATGTATGTTGTGTTGTCAAAGGAAGAGAAACAATTGAAACTCTGCAATTGTGTGTAAATGAGACAGAAAGATAAATCAGCAACCTAAGACTTGGTCACAATTTTCGTGATGCCATATGGAAGTAGGGTCTACCATTAGACAATACTGTACATTGTGCTTCCAATATCTTCCCAGGCAGTAGAATCTCCCCATTTGGTAGCTGCCTAAAACTTTTAGTAATATTACTTTGATACAACATGATAAATTAGACAAACAATGAAAATAAACAAACAAAAGTTATTTACCAAGACCGCTCTGAGAACAGAGGGATGTAGGGGGAAGGAAGGAGGTTGAGATAAGATGGCTATTTATAGCCTGTCTTTGTGTAGGAAGTCGACCACACTAGAAATAATTAATTTTATTATGGTAGTGTTGTGAGGATGTGTGAGTGGTGTGGGGGGTTGTGGTAGTGTTGTGAGGATGTGTATGTGGTGTGGGGGGTTGTGGTAGTGTTGTGAGGATGTGTGAGTGGTGTGGGGGTTGTGGTAGTGTTGTGAGGATGTGTAAGTGGTGTGGGAGGTTGTGGTAGTGTGAGGATGTGTGAGTGGTGTGGGGGGGGTTGTGGTAGTGTTATGAGGATGCTGTATGAGTAGTGTGGGGGCTTTGTGGTACAGTTGTGAGGATGTGTGAGTGGTGTGGGGGGGTTGTGGTAGTGTTGTGAGGATGCTGTATGAGTAGTGTGGGGGCTTTGTGGTACAGTTGTGAGGATGTGTGAGTGGTGTGGGGGGGTTGTGGTAGTGTTGTGAGGATGTGTATGAGTAGTGTTGTGAGGATGTGTAGTGGTGGGGGGGGTTGTGGTAGTGTTGTGAGGATGCTGTAAGAGTAGTGTGGGGGCTTTGTGGTACAGTTGTGAGGATGTGTAAGTGGTGTGGGAGGTTGTGGTAGTGTGAGGATGTGTGAGTGGTGTAGGGGGGGTTGTGGTAGTGTTATGAGGATGCTGTATGAGTAGTGTGGGGGCTTTGTGGTTCAGTTGTGAGGATGTGTGAGTGGTGTGGGGGGGGTTGTGTGTGTGAGGATGTGTGAGTGGTGTGGGGGGGTTGTGCAGTGGTAGTGTTAGGAGGATGCGGTATGAGTAGTGTGGGGGCTTTGTGGTTCAGTTGTGAGGATGTGTGAGTGGTGTGGGGGGGTTGTGCAGTGGTAGTGTTAGGAGGATGCGGTATGAGTAGTGTGGGGGCTTTGTGGTACAGTTGTGAGGATGTGTGAGTGGTGTGGGGGGGGGTTGTGCAGTGGTAGTGTTAGCGGGATCTCGGTATGAGTAGTGTGGGGGCTTTGTGGTACAGTTGTGAGGATGTGTGAGTGGTGTGGGGGGGTTGTGGTAGTGTTGTGAGGATGTGTGAGTGGTGTGGGGGGGTTGTGGTAGTGTTGTGAGGATGCTGTATGAGTAGTGTGGGGGCTTTGTGGTACAGTTGTGAGGATGTGTGAGTGGTGTGGGGGGGTTGTGGTAGTGTTGTGAGGCTGCTGTATGAGTAGTGTGGGGGCTTTGTGGTACAGTTGTGAGGATGTGTGAGTGGTGTGGGGGGGTTGTGGGAGTGAGTCATAACCACACACCACCCTCAACACACTACCTCTTTCCTGCATCACCATCCAACACTACCAACGTGCAACACACCTGGTCACCTCTACATTATTAACACCTATACTGGAGTTGATTGGGATCATGTGCTGTGTACATC